GAATGTCGAACAAGAAGATTTCTTCCTCCAATGACACACCAAAGCAAAAGGAATAAAATTAAATAATTCAAAAATGTGAATTCATGAGGAGTAAATCTATGATTAGTCGTACCTAAATTAGCAAGAGAATCAGTCGGCCAATTCATCAAACATCATCTATGCTTTTTACATCTTGACTGTCGAACTTCATACAGATCCATGGCCTCGTCTTTATGGACCCATCATGTAATAACTAGAAGAAGAAGAACAAAAAGGATTCTGAAATCGGTAAATATAATCACCTTCAACAGAGAGATTAGAAATCAAAATTGATAAATTAGGATTTGCCTACCAGATTATGACGCAAGATTTGGAAGGAATCTGGAAGATGGAGTGTATGTGATGATCTCAGGAAGATGAAGACGGGATTGAGAGAGAGAAACTGATTTCAATGTAAAATACCTCCTTACCCTTTGTAAGATGCGTAGATGATGAATCATAGGGGCTTAATCCAACGGTGCATAATTATTCTTATTTCTTTCATTAGATCTTATTCTTATTTGAACCAAAATCTATATATATATATATATATATATATATATATATATATATATATATAGAGTTTGGTTCAAATAAGAATAAGATCTAATGAAAGAAATGAGAATATTTTTAAACCGTCCGACCTGCGGGTAGCGTGGGCCGAGATGGGGGCGTCGACGGCCAAGAATAAGGGCGCCTGGTCACAGACTGCAACAAGGTATCATGCTTGGCCTCGAGCTCACGAGCCAATGCGAAAGAAGCGGATAACGTGGCTGGTTTTAAGAGAGCAATCTCGTGACGAAGGTGCGGCTTGAGACCCGCATGGAAGAGGGACATGAGATTAGCCTCAGACGTGCCCGGAACATGCTGCAAAATATGCTCGAACGCTGTTTGATATTCCATTACGGACCCGGTCTGCCGAAGGTTGGCCAATTGTCCGAAATAGTCGACATAATGCATGGGATCAAAACGGAGATGAAATTTTTCCTCGAAATCAGCATAATCGGCGATGAGATTGCCGTTCATTCTCCATCGAAACCAATCGGCGGCAGGCCCTTCTAACATTAAGGCCACACAACGCAAGCGCTCCTCCGGCGGTGTGTTGTAGAAAGCAAAGTACTCGCCCACCTTGTACAACGAGCGCAGGGGCTCGGTGCCATCGCAAATTGGCGCCTCCAACCGAGGTTTGGGCGGGGCACGGTCAGGCCCACCAAACCCATGATCCACCATAGGATGGGGACCTGGACGGTGAAACCCGGGACCAGCGCCGGTTTGATGAGCATCCAGCATCGTCTGTAAACGTTGAAATTGCAACTCAATGCGTGTCTCCAAGTCTTGCTGCAGTTGGTAGATGGAATTGATGAGGCGTTGGGTATTGGCATCGAGATCCACACGCAGCGCCTGCAACTGGTCTCCCAGAGCCACTACGGCCCCATCATCTGCGACGGCTGATGCCATGGACGGAACAGAAAACAAAAAGGCGTGGCTGCGGAGAGAACAAAAAGAACGGCGGAAGGAAGGTAGGCAACAAGAGCACCAATTGATACGTGAAACGTATCGGATATGGAGGAACTTCGAGTGTCCTCGGACTCCTGGAGAAGAAAATAAAGGGAACTAGGGTTTTCTTATTTTCTTTCCAGCTTCGCACGTACATCCATATATATAGTCAACCCCTAATCTCCAACCTAATTAATCTAAATTATCTATCCTGACGGTTCAAGAAAAGTGACGAGGTAAAGAACCGTAAAGAAACCCTCGAAGGAGCTTATAATTCGCTCACTTAAAAAAATCTAAAATACAATAATTATTTGATAAAAATATTAAATAGCGTAATCCTGATGCCAAGCCGGTTGTCGTCTCGCACGACCACTTCGCCTTGGTCGGTTATCTTCCTCCACTTCCTCGACCGTCGCGTCGTCCGCATTATCCGATGACCCACCCATTTCCATAACGGTATCATCTACATCCCCCACCTATTGTATTCACCTCATTCATCTTCTCCTTCTCGATGGAGCTTCGAGCTCCATCAATGGCGATCACGTCGATATGATGTATAAATATACCCCCGATATACAATAAAACATCTCCGTTGGCATGGTACCGCCAAAAAAGGCTCGTGGTTTTCACCGATTTGGTTTCCACGTCAAAGTGTGTTGTTTATGTTCTTGTTTAAATATTTTCTACATTTTACACATATATCGTATAGAACAAAAAATACACACTCGAGGGGTTTTGGTCTATCAAATGGTGCTCTTTTTGAGAGGAGAATTTTTATACTCAAGTGTAAAATCCTCCTATTATTTTACAAACTAGACCCAAACCCGTGCATTGCACGGTCTGAGTTAAAGCTAAATAAATAAGGGAAGTATTGATAGAAGTAAAAGACAAAATTTGCTTTAAACAAAGATACGTAATATATATTAAAGAGGAGGAGTTTTACAACAACGCACAATGTGATAGAATAACATTATAAGTTTTGAAAAACTTATTTATAGACTACATTTGCAGTTTTATTAGATGTCGCAGGATCTTCACCACAAATCAAAATCTTTAATAGGTAATAACTCAAACTTTTTTCGACCCACAATATATTTCTGGCCCACACAATATTTTCGGCCCACACTCGGTTCATATCAAACCTACTTATCAAACATACTAAATTCTTCCGCCACATCCACCCCCTCTTTCTCGACATATTATCTTCTTCTTGTTGTCTCTCTCTTTCTCTCCTATGTTGTTGTTTCTTGATTATTAAACATATACATTTCTTGGATTCCCTATAAGCCGATTCTGTTCGTCGATGCATCAATGACTTTATTAGGGATTGATATTTTTAGTCAATATTTTTTGGATCGTTTTGCGTTTTGTTTTGATTTTATAGTTTTTTTCATCAAGTCTGTTATAATGAAAAAGATCTTTAGATTCTGGATTTTCATTACCCGAAATCATTAGCCGATTTCCATGTGCGCCGATTCTTTTCGTTTTTTTTCACATCGTTTTTTGGATGATCTTGGGCTCCGTTTTAATTTAATGTTTTTTTCATTAAGATGTGTTACAACGCATATATATATATATACATTAATGAAAGGATAATTTTTATTAAGAAAACAAGAAAAAAAGAAAAGTACACGAAGGGGAGGACTAGACCAAAGCCCCTCTAAAATTGCATGAAATAAAGAAAAGCTGAAAGGGAAAGAAACATGAGTGAAAAGTGATCATTCCCAAATTATAAAACCGGGATGTTGATCAAGGGAAAGGTTTCTAGGCATTACTTTCTTTGGTCTCTTCCCATCAGTTCTAATAGGGCCGACGGGACCGACATACCAAAAGGGCCCGGAGTAACTTTCGGTAGTGATAATTTTTTCCAAAGTTGTTGACTTTCGGCTAGGCCAGTATCTAGTGATCTCACTAACAGTCCCGACTTCAAGGTTTGGGTCGTAGCTTCTAGTTTTGATTGTTCTTGGTGCATTTGGCCTCTTGCCTGCTTTTTTGGTACGTCTATTTTGGACATCTTGAAAGTCATTGGTTTCCTCCCTTGGATGTGATGTCTCCCCTTCTTCAATGTAGGACCTAATTTCATATTGTTGTCCGTCGATCTCAAATGATTGAAGAACCGGTCCTATTGTTGATGGGTTGGTACCTGCATCGTTAGTCAACGGAGGGGAGTTTTTGTTTTCCATAGGATCAGAAGGAATCTCATCATTTCCTGCAGATGAAAGACTTAGTGTGCCTTCCATCTCTTTCTCATGAGAAAGAGTGTGTGCACCACTAGTAGCTTCCAACAATTCTTTTGTGAGGACTGGAAATTCATTTAAGTTGATTTGAGAAGGGTCAGGAATGTACTCTTCCTTATTTTCAGTGTCAACAGTCTGTGTGCCTTCCAATGCTGCCTTGGAAGACAGATTGTGTGCTCCGCGACTGAGTTCATCGTTATAAAGTAAAGGAGAATTGGGTTCCAGTATAAGGGTATCGTCTTGGACGTTGGTATGAGTAACCAATATAACCTCACTATTACCACAAGTTTCAGGACCATTGGCAGTAGGAATTACTTCACAAGAATCAGAATCTATGTTAACATTATGACAAGCTGATGTACAACTCTTAGAAAGAGTTGCTTCAGAATCTTTCTTAACATAATCTGTGTCTTCACAAACAATAGGGTCTGAATTAGACCTTAGGCTAGTTGCTGGGGGTATTTCAAGAGCAGTAGAAATTAGAGGGGGCTCATGAGCTATAGAGTCCCTCACATTAGCTAGGGCCATGTCTTCAACTCTAGGAGGAGCAGCGCCATATGAGTCTGCTGCTTCAGCAGCAGAAGCAGACCCGGTTGCATACTCATCACGTGATTCACCCTGGTTTGTTTGCAAAACAACCTCGTTTGTTATTGGGGTCACTCCAGGCTTAGGAAACACTACAGCTTGTTGACTGCCAGTTCTAGACCTTCCTTCTGTTTTAACCCATCTAGAGTTCTCATTCTTTTTCTTACAGTTTTTGTGGCCTAAAGATTTGAACGAGGGGCAGTAGTCAGGAAGATCTTCATAGGTTATTGGTTGAAGGAAAGTGAGTTCTCCCAGGTGAATCCAAACACAGCGAGGCAGATCCTTGCTGGTATCTATCTCCACACAGATTCGGGCAACAGAGGGCCTCGAAAGAGTTGCTGTTGCTGAATCAGTTTTCAGAGGTTTGCCAAGCAAATTCCCAATTGAATATAAAGCTAGAGAATCAAACAGATGTATAGGCAAGCCTTCAAGTATTTTCCATTTATCTTCCAGTATTTTCGCAACAAGCATCTCAGAAAATCCTTTTCAGATTCGAAATTGATCAAAATATGGCAATCATCTAAGAGACTTACAGAGAAATCACTTTCAAAGGCAATCCGTTCAAAAGCTTTTCTCGTTGAGATAAGGCTTGGTCTCCCTTTGATGAATCACCCGACAATTGTTCGAGAGAATCTAGATGAGAGCGCACTCACATCTGTGTCTGTGAAAGAGATGGCTGGTTGGCCTTTAAATTTTCCCGCAGGTTTGAAGTCTCCTGCATCTGCAATTTTGCTGAATGTTCGTTGTGGAAGGGAGCTGGACATGGTTGGATGATGGTCGCCGGACCGCCATGGTGGTCGGCGATGACCTAGCCGCAGAAATCAGATCTAGAGCGAGAAGACATTTATATATATATATATATATATATATATATATGTATGTATGTATATATATATGTATATATATATATGTTTTTTTTAAATACGGAATTTATATTGATAATAATCAAAGGATGTTTACAGCAATGTGGGAGAAGCATTCGTCCCACCAGTTAAGATTACAAGACAGAAAAGCATTGAGAGTTATTTCTATTAAAGTGCAAACGAAAACCCAAGGACTTCAACGTTTCATCCATATGCATCCATTGCTTGCCTTTGTGAATCCATATCCATTGTTGTATCGTCTTCATGATTGTTGCGATAATAGTCCCTTCTTTGAAGGCTTTCCCGGCGTATTTCACTTCGTTGTGAGCCTTCCATAGTCCCCATGCAATGAAGCCGGGGAGGACCGAGGTGATTTTATCCTGCAGCTTGTTCCTTGGCGTGCTAATCCACCATTTCATGCAGGTATCGTGTAGGGTATCTTCCCTACTAGGAATGGGACCATCAAATAGAGCTGAGAAGAACCTCCAAATTCTGAAGGACATTTGACACTGGAGGAGGGTATGGTTGAGGTCCTGCGGGCCGTTGAGACAGAAGCTGCATTGGGAAGGAAGGGCAAGGTTAAACCTGGATAAGTTTTCCGGGAAGGGGAGTATATTATTGAAAGCTTTCCACATGA